CGGTCAAAACATGGTATTAATTATCGTTATGATCTTACTTTTTTAATCGGTTATGTAGTTCAAAAGATGTTATTTAAAAAAATCAAAGAAATTACTTTCAACAATAAATATCTTCAAACCTGAATGTGCTGTTTTTTAAAAAGCGGATGAGTCCAATTTCCAAGTTTCCAATGGCATAGTAAAAAAATGTTGCCCCCGTTTATCGTAATCCTCCCAAAGTTTTAATTACTTAACTGAGCTAATTATGTTTCTAACGGAAATTTTTAGAGCCATTTAAATTTTTTGGTCTATTGAAATTTTTTGCACAATTGAAAAACCGAGTTGGTGGTTCAATTTACTAGAGATCACTTCTCAAAAACCATAGATGCATCGATACATCGACTATTATACATCAAGTGGAAAATTTTCGATGCATCAAAGGAAACATCGACATTTTCGATGTTTTTCGAGCATTCCTATTTCATTGAAGTTTACATACAACTAAATACATCACATAGTGAGTTCGTTACCAATTTAATGAATTTTTAAACACTTTAATAATGCTTAATCCATCTGAAGATAACATAAGGAAAAACCTTAAAGTCATATCTTTAGTAAAAAGAAATCCGTTGTTGTTTCAAAGCTCGTCCGTGGAGCGAGCAGTAATGTGGAGGAAAATTGACGAAGTTTGTGGATTCGATGATTGTAAGGCACAAATGCAAATGATTATACAGAGTTTAATATTGAAAAGTATGTATCTATATGTATTTCCACTTCAGATGGAGCCAAAAGTCGGTGGTCATTTCTGTACGAAAATTTTTGCAAACACGTAATAAAGGTGGCATTTAGAAATGCACATTCATTTCACAGGACAGATATCACATATGTGCAGTTCAATGAATGGCCTTATTTTGAAGACATGAAGTTTATGCTGCCTCATGCAATAAGCTCCATGGGCGAACACGATATGAAGGCGATAAGAACAAAGATCATGAAAAGCGAAGTTCCTGGCGTGGAGGATGTTGAAGATCAAGATTCTGGTTCGTTACTAGATGTGAAAGAGAGTACGGTTAATTTTGAGTCATATAAAGATATTAATAAAGAGATTCCTTTAACATCGTCTACGACTATAAAGGATAACCATTCCACTGTTACCTTAAACGCAAATCTCAAAGACAGTGCAGATAAGGTTCCTGCTGAACAAAAGGTTGGAGACAAAGTTTCTCAAGTTAAAACGAGTATTTTGCAATGGTTAGGAAGAGACAAAGATGATTTTACTGCAAAAAAGAGAAAACTTGAACACACTCAAACTTGCCCAACAAGCACACCTGCTAAAGCAGCAAAGAAAAATAAACCCGACAAGAATAAATCGTCTTCTCACGAGGATTTATCATCGGAAGAAATTAATAGTGAGAAACCTTCAACATCATCCAACCACTTTTCTTCGTCTAGTACCTCGAACACAAATCTCAACAGTAATACCGATAAAGTTTTTGCTGAAGTAAAGGTTGGCGACAAAGTTTACAAAGTCGAAGTGAATATTCCTGAAGGGTACAAAAATGATTTTACCACAAAAGTAAGAAAAATTGAATGTACTAAAACATCCTCAACGAGCACGTCTACTAAATCAGCAAAGGGAACTTTGCCCAACAAACCTAAATCGACTGCCAATGAGAAAGTATCACCAGGGGAAATAAATAATAAGAAGCCTCCAACATCATCTACTGCTACTAAAGGAACAAAGGAAACTATGACCGACAAACCCAAATCGACTTCCTATCAGGAGTTATCACCAGAGGATCAAAGTTTAAAAGCATTTTTTAACTCTATGCTGCGGACGACGCAGAGCTTGCCGAAGTGCCATCAAAGTAATATCAAAACTAGCTTGGTGCTAGCTTTGCGAAATCAATCCATGGACGTGGAGGACCACACATTATCCGGTAAATATATTTCAGAATAGTCAATTGTACTCCAGCAGTGGTAAAATGTATTTTAAATGACGAAAATTACTATAGGTACACTTTAAATATTTAGATAGTATATATGGTAATAATTTTAAATATATTCGGCCTTATCCTGGGTTTCGCCTGAAAAAAAAATTCAACCTAAGATTTGTCATCCGCCCATAGTAAAACTATGGAAACTAAAAGTGAAAAGTGAACCGGTTCGGGGAAAATGAAACTCATGATAAGGCTGATTTACTTTCGTAATACATTTTCCATATTTCAAGTACCTAATTAAAATATTTGGCCCGCCCGTAGCTGGTAGTAGATACTGGAACTTCTCTACATCCAGGGGGGGCCTATTTCATAAAGTGACAATGATAATTTTGTAACGACAAGCATTTTTCTTATTGTCAGTGACAATTCGACAGATTGGTGGTTGTTTTGTTCCATTCCATTGAAAAAGTGACAAATATGCATTGTCGGGTTTTAAAATTGTCGTTGAAAAATTTCCGAGTCATAAGAAATTTTTATGTAATTTATATGTAATAATTGCATCTGCATTACTATTCTCTTGTGAAAACATTCCGACGGAGTTATTTAGTTTTGTCGCTATCGTCGTGATAATTTTGTCAGAGTGACAATTGTCAGCACCATTGTCGACAATAGTCCACCCAAACAGACAGCTTGCATAAGAACAGTCCCCCAGGCGCGTCAGGAGGCATCTCTACGAATTGACGTGACGGACGAAGTCCTGAGGTTCATCAAACAACCTCTGGACCCGATAGCTTATCGACAGGCCATGAACGCCGTTCACAGAGAGGCCGTCTCAAGTTATGTAGACTTTCGACCAGTGAATGACGCTCTGAGCGTACAACCACCAGACGTGGACGAAGATGTTCTAAACGAATGCCCGGCAGATTTGCTCAACAAACCATATGAATCGATTTCGTTTTGTTGATGCGCAAAAATAACTTATCAAAATAATTTCGTTTCGTTTCAGTGCTGAATTAACGAAACAAAACTCAATCGTTAACGTTGAAACGAAAAAAATCATCAATCGTTAACATCGAAACAAAATAAATCAACGAAAAGTTTTTGTTGTATGCCATTGCCAGCTCACTATTAACACCTAGCACCTAAATGCATGCTACAGCTGCAGCATTAACGATTGAATTTCGTTTCGTTAAAAACCACAATAGAATTATTTTGATAATTACCTAAACGATAAAAAACTTAACCGTTTCAACAGAAACGATTGCTTTTTTTGGTAAACGCTAAAATTAACGTTACAATGCTTCCTTGATGCCCGCCATGCGGACAGGCGCCCCATGACTCAAAGCATCTCTTCGCATGCCCACTGAACCCCACCCTACTGACGCCCCGGTCCCTATGGACAGACAGCTCGACGACAATTATTGAGGGACTAACCGATCTGGGCGGGGTTGTTGTAGCCGCTACAACCACAACAACAATATTCCAGTATTGTCACTGTCGCTTTCTAAAAATAATTCACAGTTACCGACAAGCGTATATCACTATGAGCGTATATGAAACAGAAAAAATGTCGCCCAACAATTCTGGCTCTGAAATTTTTTAGAAAAATCGACAATTGTCGCACCTGTCACGTTTATGAAATAGGTCCAGAGCGAACGCGATCCGGTTTACGACTGCATAACAAATTTAAATTTGCTTCGTTGATATATATCACTGCCTGTATATAAGAATTCAATGATTTAACATATTCAGCGCCCTGGGCCTTATTTACGGCACTGTTAATGGTTGCTGGCTGGTGGTGTACACTTTCAATTGTATCCAGTCTACCTTGCATATGATTCCCAATTGTGGAGATTGAGCCATCTTTTCGATCTGTAATCTTAATGGCTTTAGCGTTACTGTAGAGTCCTTCTCTTTGGAGCGTATCGTCTGTGCCGGACATTATATATAGGTATTTCAGGTTAGTCAATTATATTTCAGAAACCGTAAAGTGGACATTAGATTAAAAAATTGTACCTTGGAAATAACTTCAGCGAGTGGATATCGTTGTTTAAAGTATGTGAGTTTTTTTACTCTCTACAAAATAATTTATGCAACCTCACATATGCGGTTTTCCATTATCCTGATACACAGTTTTGCATTATGTTGATACGCGGTTTTGTACTTTAAACCACGATATATACTTACGGTGGCCAACCGTCCTGTATTAAACGGGACAGTCCTCTATTTTGACCCATTGTCCTGGTAATTGTTTTATTTTATACGGGACGCCAAATGTTCTGTGTTTCTTTTAATATCCTTTATTTGTCCCGTATTCGATGCTCCGACGACTTAACAGCTCATTAAAATGGCATACCTATGAACGAGTTGTAAGTGATGTTGGTATATAGTCAGTGTTGTCACTTCAGAAATCAAATTAGTGGTAGATTATTAATAAAAACAGTGTCATTTTAGTAAGTTTTGGCTATCTTTCCTTAGTTTATTTAATGTTAATTATTTATTTTATGAAAGTAAAGCTCTTTTCCCAACAAAAATCATATAATATCAAATTTTCAAATTTGTGCAAAAAACTATAAAAATTAATTCTGCAATGTTTCACAAAAATTTCAAACTTTTTAATTAGAATCTTTAGAAAAAAATTTGGTTTGCAGTTTTGTAACACATTAAAATTGAGTATAATAAAGTGCGAGTGGAAAGTGCTGCTCATTTGCTTCTCTTTCAAAAAAAAAAAAAGATCGAACATACAAAAAAACAAAAAAATGCAAAACACTGACAACAAAAAAAAAAATGCCAAAAGTTAGTAGTAAGCCTTGCCGACTTAAAATTGCACTTTATTATACTAAAATTTAAGGATTTTTTTAAATAAATTTTACGGTGTAAAAATCTCGACAAAATTATGCTACAAATTTGTGATGTTACTATATGGATACTGTTTCAGGGAAAAAATTTGCAAAATTATTTTTTGTCCCGTATTCGGCTCTCATAAATATGGTCACCGTATATATACTTCTAACTAACTACAAAACTAAAAACACCGAAAAAAAAATGTCGAAGAAATAGTTCGAAAATCAAGAATGTCGAAAAAATTTATTTAAGTTAAATTAAGTTAAATTCCACTAATCCTATGTAAATACTAACATTATAAATGTGAAAATGTGTGAGTGAGTATGTTTGTTGCTCCTTCATGCTAAAACGTCTGGATGTATTAAGCGAAGCGCACATTGGCGCGATTCTGTCGTTGCGAATCCGCAAGCCCAAAAATTACAACAATGCTACCCATACATTTTAATGCGCTAGCGCACACTTGCACGATTCCGTCGCTGCGAATTTTTCGAACATTCAATTAGGGGATTCCCTTAAACGCGAAGAGCAGAAAACTCGAAAACCTCGAAAGTTGTCGAGGCTGTTTTTGGGAATGCACCTTTTTTCAGCCTCGTAAACAATGGAGAAATTCCGAAGTTTGACAGCTCATTCAGAGTTTTTTGTATAATACATCGCATCAGCTGAAATAAATACATATAAAATCAGCATTGAAAATGCCACGAAAAAGTGAAAAATGTAAATTGTATGAAGTTCGTAGAATATTCGGATATAAAGGCAACACTGAAACTTACGAACGACTTTTCGAGGCTTTTTTCGCGACTAATTTGCCTCGAAAGTTTTCGAGGCACGCGAATATCGCCACTCATACAATTTTTGACAGTTGTTTTTCGAGGCTGGAAAAGTTTCGAGGTTTCGTGGTTTTCGAGCCACTTTCGAGCTTAAGGGAATCCCCTAAATGTTCTTCTCTATTGACGCGTTCGAAACGCGGTTTGCAGCGTTTTGAAGGCGTCAAAGAAGAAGAAGAAAGGTGTCACAGCAATAAAGGCAAAGAAAAAAAAAACGTGTAATGTACAAAAACTAATAAAAACGTTCGTAATAATAGTATTTTGTACGATTTGGGCACGCCGAGTGCGAAAATACACGAAATAAAGGGAAAATTGAGTGAATTGTACATCGGAAATCGACGCGAAAAAATCGCTCAAGTGTGCGCACGTTTGCGGATTCGAAGTTAACAGCCGAATTCGCAACGACAGAATCGCGCCAATGTGCGCTTCGCTTTACAATTAAATTTGGAATACAGGTAGTCTTCTATCCTGGCTTAAAATATAAAACATTTTTTTTGGAGAGAGTTGCCACCTCTTTCAAAAGTTAAAATCGATTAATTAACAAGCTAAAAAAAATATTACAGCAATGTGTCAAACAAAAGTGGTTCAGAAACTAGATATGTATTTCGAAAGTATTTTTTAGGAGGGTTGCCACCTGTTAAAAAGTAAAAGTCAATTAATTGATAACTAAATACACTTTAAGATGGTTGCTGTCTATTTAAAAAGTAAAAATCAATGCTATTAAAAAGTTGAAACGAAGTATTTTAATGTGGGTATCAAACGAGATAGGCAAAATGTTTTATTGTAGAAATATTTTTAGAGGGTTGCCATCTTTTCAAAAAGTTAAAATAAATTTAAGTAACACGTTGAATAAAATATAATATGTGTATCAAACGAGTGAGGTTTAAGAAAGCTTTATTTCGAAAATATATTTGAATAGGGTTGCCTGCTATTCTAAAACGAGTTAACCGTTCGTCAATATTTGGGTAGAATTCTACCTAAAATGCTATATTAAAATATAATCTAAAAAAAAAAAGTTTAAAGTCAAGCAGAAATGTCTATCTATTTATTCTGTTCAAGCTAAATGAAATATACTAAGGCGAATTTATATAAGGTGGTGTTACTAGATCAGCTGATTTTGTGTATGTGTTTCGCCGCACGGCTTCTGATGTCTAACTGAAAAATTTTGTTTGAATTTCTACACACACTCTTACAGATTTTGACAGTTTATGCCGCCAAAGCAATAACAAAATACATGTAAATTTTTGTTTTTGTATTCTTGCTATCACCTTATATTAATTCGCCTTAAAATATACCAATGGGATTTTGACATGAAAAAAGAAGTGTACGCAGTTGGGCAATTGACTCGGTTTTTCCAAACTGATTTCAACCGTTTTTTTTTTTTGAAATCTATAGACGCTTTTTTTGAAATCTTGATTTTTCGAATATCGAATAAACCGTTTTTTCCATTTCTGTTACTTTTAAAGTGTGTAAAAGCTAGTATTTAATAGTTTGATAATTAAAGAGATAACTTAATCAATTCCCTTGGTATTAACGAACATAAATTAACAGTTCAAAATCATTCCCACGACAGCCGGTTCTACGTACCGGAATGACTCGGGTTTTACCCGACCAAGGGCTGTTGTTTCGGCGATCTAACCCCGTTTAGGTCGGCGAAATCCCTCAAAAGTTGTACGCACAAAGGGCTACATCTTCTTCGCATGTTTCTGCTCAGGGCTGTCATTGAATCAAATCCTGGACCAGAAACCTCTACCTGCTGCGTGTGCCAGAGACGACTACACCACAACTCCACCTCCGTTAGATGCAACACATGTAACGGGTGGAGCCACCTCCGCGTTTGCTCAGTCCTTACGACTCGTAGGCAATGGACCACCGCGTACGTGGTGCGCAAATCGAGCTGCCTCCAAGGCACAACAGAGTCTGCCTGAGCAGCAACTCAACACAAACACAACCGCACCACAACACAATACAATGGACCACACCTCCGATACAACCGCACCACCACCCACGCGCCGCCAACAACTCCTAGTTCCTACGACAATCTGCACGGTGTGTCAGTCCAGGATACTCCGTAATGTGACATCAGTCAAATGCAACATTTGCCTTGGCTGGTGTCACTTTAGGGCATGTTCAAAACTGCGCACCACGAGAGCCTTCATAGGTCGGCATGGAATATTAATAGCTGCGGGCCAAGAGACGAATCTGCATGGCAATTCAATATTGTTGATGATGATGATGATCTCTACAAACAATCTCTGGACCCGACAGCTTATCGGTAGGCTCTGAACGTCATTCACATAGAGGCAGTCCAAGAATTATGTAGACTCTTGACCTGTGAATGCCGTCATGGCCACACAATACATACGTATACATATGTATACCGAAGATGTTTAAAATAGACGTAAAACCACCCTTGTTTTCCACGTAGCGGTAGCTTTCGAAAAGGTTAAAAAACTATATTGAATCTTGCGCAGGGTATTTAATGTTGTTTTTATTGTTGTAGCGGCACTACTAAGCCCCGCCTATTTCGGGTCGACCTTCAATCATTGTCGTCAAGCTCAACTAACGGTAGGCCCAGGAAACGGGCTGTTTCAATAGGGTCGGACCAAAGGGAGAGGGGTGTCAGTTGAGTCGGATTGAACTGGCATGTGAAGAGGTGGTTGGTGTCGTGCGGGGAGTTTGAGGCGGCCAGGGTAACGCGGCTCTCTCTTGGCAGTTGAAGCTCCGTCTACAGGTGGTGATTGGTGATTGGGCTCGGATCACGGCATTCATAGGCCGGGAGTCGAAGTAGGTGGTGACTGATTCCCTATGAGTGTCGTTGATCACTCCTCTGTACGTCGTCGGGTCCAGTGGTTGATCTACGTATTTCTGGATAGCGTAATTGTACACGAATATGTGCCCCTGACATGCCTGGGTGGATAGTGGGTGGGTAGTGTTCCCTTACGGGGAGCACTTGGGCCTCGCTGTGAAGGTGGTGCTCAGGCGACATCAGTAGGCACCCAGTTGCTGCCCGGAGTGCGGCGTTCTGACAAGTCTGTAGCTTCGTCCACTGCGTCCACATAGTCCCCAGCGTCCAAACTGGTGCTGCCTCATTTAGAACCAGCCGGCCAATCGCCTTGTATGTTGCCAGAAACGGTTGTTTGTATTTTTCCCAAATGCTGCCGGCGAGAGATTTGAGGACCTTGTTGCGGCTCTGTACTTTGTTGACAACTGCGGTTGTGTGCGTGGAGAACGAGAGCAGGCTATCAAAGGTAATTGGGGGGCCATCGACGTGAATGCCTAATTCTAGCCTATCCTCCTTCGTCCATGGGGTGAAGAGAATCGTTGGGGAGAGTGTTAGGGTCCTTGTAGTGAAGAAGCGAGAAAGGCTGGAGAGATAGTCGTTTACTTTTGAGCAGAGGTCATTAATTCTAATCGCAGACGCCAAAGTCGAACAATCGTCAGCGTACGAGATCAGGAAACTCCCTCAGGTGGGTGATGGAGCTTCGAGATGTCGAAGTTGAACAGTAAGGGGTAGAGAACACCACATTGTGGAAGCCCTTGTTTTATTCTTCTTGCTTTCGAGGTTTGAGTTCTGAAGATTACTGACGACTGTCGACCACTCATGTAATTCCCCGACCGTTAAGTGCTGCTGTTGTGCTATGCACTTCACGGAAGCCATGCTGATGCTTCGCTGGGGTCAGGTTGCAGGTGAAGTATGGGATTAGTAGGGCATCTAGTGTCTTCACGACCGGAGAAAGGAGCGTTATCGGGCGATAAGAGTCTTCTTTGTTGGCGGGCTTCCCCGGTTTAAGCAGTGGGACCACTCTCCCTGATTTCCACATATCAGGAATGATGAGAGTGGCCATTGACAGGTTGAGGACCTCCATTAGGTATGCTACTCCCGTGGGCCCAAAATGTTTCAGCATCAGCATACAGATTCCGTCGGGTCCAATGGCTTTGGAGGCTTTCTCCTTCCCGATAACCCCCTTCACTTAACCGCTGGTGAAAACAAGTGGTGCACTGTTTGTAGGCATTTGTGCAGCCTCCTTGTCACTCGACGTTTGGCCTTGTCTACCGAAAGATGCAGTGTAAATTGCCGACTAAAGTAGTTGGTGCATTTCTTCGGGTCCGACGAAGCGCGACCTTCGAATGAGATTTCCACTTTGTCATTACGCTTCGTCGGGTTGGACTAGGACCGCACGGTTGACCAGAGCTTACTCACACACTTTTTCCGATTGTGCTGATTTACCAGTTGCTGAATCTCCAAGTTAAGGTCCTTCAAGAGAGGATCCCCGGGATGGACCTGGTGTTGGTTGGGTGGTTCGCGGGTGCAAAGTCGATGGGCTTAGGCAGCAGGTGACAGGGGGTATATACACGCTAAATATTTCGAGCTCGACATCGCCTGACCGGACAGTTATGTCCTGACATTCTAGAATAGTTGGCCTCGGGTCGATGTCTTCTTCGATAAGCCGATATTGCACTGTGTGGTGCAGGATGAGCGCTAATCCACCACGATTATCTCGCTTGCGATCTTTACGGAGTACATTGTAGGCGACGCAACCCAATAGAGTTGAGTTGCTGTGCAACTTCGTTTCTTGGAGCGCAGCTATCAATATGCCATGCCGACCCATAAAACTATTATCTCTTCAATCTTGCTCTGGAGTCCGTTGCAGTTAAGCTGTAAGAGTTTCGTGTGCCTTGAGAGGCTGGTCACGATCCGGGGGCGAGAGGGACGTGTGGAGTCTAACTTGGGCCTGTTACGCCTGACGCAGTTGCTGTTGCTGCCTGGTGGTAGGTGGCTGCAGTGGGAGCGATGTTGTTGTTCGTAGTCCACTCGCGTGTGGTGCGTAGACGGAAGTGGCACCAGCCAAGGCATGTGTTGCATTCGACTGATGACACATTCCGGTATACTCTGTTCTGGCAAACGGAGCAGATGGTTTGGGCAATACCTTACCAGCAACTTACACTTCACCCGGCGGTCCTTACCACTTCACTCATGAATCTCACTTACTTTAACAAAGACGGAATTTAGAATGTACATTTGGTATCAGACATACTTCTGAGCCGCTTTACAAAGTGAGTTACGTTGAATGTAGAGCAGTCGCTCGGAATTGTTCGGCGCTTGAAAATATTTTCCCAGTGGGTATATACCCAAATTAATTTTAATAATATATGTACATGCATACATACATATGTGTATATATAATATTAATTTTTATTTATTTACGTAGACACCGAAGCAATCGAGCACAAAAAAGGCAAGGTCTGTTCGGAACAGGACAGAAGCAGAGTCGCGGAAGCAGCAAACAGAAACGACGACTGTTTAAGTCTGGCAGCATCTTTAGAGGTCGACCACGAAACAAGACTGAAAACCGAGTCCCTTACCGTGGAAGAAGTGCGCGATATTGTAAAGTGGGTTGAAGAGAACAGCACTTTGACACTGAAAGAAATCCAACTGAAAGTGTACTATGCCTTCGATAAAGAAGTGTCGATCTGCACAATATATGACTCTTTACAGGGCAGGCTGTATACGACTAAACAACTAAACCACCAGCCAGCGACCATCAACAGAGCCGAAAATAAGGCAAAACGCGCCGAATATGTAAGAGCTTTAAATAATTTTATACAAGCTGGAAAACAAATAATATATATTGACGAAACAAATTTCAAGTTGTTTTGCCGTGGCACACAGGATCGGATACGTCCTCATTTAAGAGCAATTAAGATACATCTTATCGGAGCTATAGCCACAAGCGGAATAATAGCGATGGATTGCCGACGCAGATCTTTTAAAGCTGCGCATGCATACAGTTGGATCAAAAAAGTCCTTCAGAGATGGTTTAAGATGGGTAACAACCTTGCGGATTTAGTTGTGGTGTGCGATAATGATGCTCCGTGCTACAACCACCTGAAATATTCGATCAATATTTTAAACGCCACAACAAAGGCAACACTCCTAAGCCTGGAACCACATTCGCCAATGCTGAACCCTATGGAAATAATTTGGACTAAAATAAAAACTTATGTGAACGCAAATATTGATCTTCTAGATATGGTTGGTCCAGGCGTAGGCGAAGAGTGGCTTTCTTATTTCGAGCGTCGTGTTAGTGAGGCAAAAGCAACAATTGTTGACGGTGATTGCAGTAATGCAATCGAACATACTG